AGGTCCGTTTCTTTGCCAGTGCCATGCTGTTTTTATCACAGTAGCTTTGTAATATAGTTTCAAGTTGGGGTGAAAGAATAATTTTTAAAGATCACATACTACACAATGCCATTTATATGAAATGTCCAAAATAGATTCATAGAGACAGAAAGAAGATTAATAATTGCCAGGGAAAAGGGAGGGTGTGATAATGAATGAGCACAAGGTTTCTTTCCAAGGTGATGAAAATGTTTTAAAATTGAGTGTGATGATGGCTGTATGACTCTGGGTAAGCTAAACATTATTGTGACACTTTAGTGGGGTGATTGTATGGAATATGAATCATATCTCAGTAGTGTTTGTCCCCCTCCCCCAAAATAAAGCCAAGTTAGCATAGATTACACTGACTAGGATGGGCATGTGACTGCTGGCTGGTCATTAGCTAGCCTTTTCCCCCACCATCACCACCTCCAGGGATGTCCCCAGCCAGTCCGGTTAGAAGCATCCACAGGACTTCAGTTAGAGCTCTTCGTGTTATTTTTCCTGGGATGAGCTGGAGGAGTTGTTGGATGTATCCAGTGCCTAGTGACCCTGTTGTGGCCCTTTTCTATAATGTAGAGAGGATTAGAAATGAGGCCAGAAGAGAGGCAGACAGAACCACTGGATGAGCACCAAAGTGCAGCCAAGACTGACACAGTTTCCCCTCCAGTGTGCTTCAGGTAGGTGGGGCTCTATGAGGACAAGGAGTTTGGTTTTCAGTGTGGATTCCTTACATCACGTGGCTTTGAAATACAGCTGACTGTTGTGTGAAGGCCAACCATGCATGAGGTCAGTCTGTCAACCACCATTGCCCTGCTGATGCCCTAAGTCAAGCAAGAGTCCAGGGCTTCAGAATGTGTCCTGATGCACACAGACAGGCTGGTCTGGCCATTTCTTTTTATAAAAACGGGTACTCCAAGCATAACTTTGCTTTGTAAATGTTTTTCCACTTTAACAACCTAACACAACCTCATGTACACTCCCCAAGGTCACAGGTGGAACTGAGACTGGGACAGAGGGGAGGGCTAATGGTTATTTCTTATTCAAAGCAAACAGCTGTGGAAGCACCACTCGGGTCAAGAAAAAGAGCACTGGCCACTCTACACACACTCCAATCGCCTCCCTCCCCACACCCCTCAGAATTTTGTGATAACCATTTCCTGACATTCTTTTGAATCTCACTTTTCACACTGAAAAATAAGATTTTTATTTTCCAAATGTCTATGTTAGAAAACGTAGGAAACTTTTGTCAAAAAGTTTTACCTAGGCCAGCTCTGCTGGTGGCTGTAATTCTAGCTATTTGGGAAGATTGCAAGTTTGAAGCCATCCTGGACACAAGGTGAAACTCCTCTTTAAAAAAGTTTTATGTGGGGCTGGGGATTTAGCTCAGTGGTTTCGCCACCTGCTGCACAAGCACAAAGACCTGAGTTGGATCCCCGGTACCAAAAAAAAAAAAA